TAAAGGCTTTACACAAATTCTGTGAACCTTGATGGCTATGTATATAATTCTTCTAAATGAAACCCTGAGCCTGATAAATTCTAAGATTCTTTGAAAATAGAAAAATGACTTATGCTAATATCACAACTTCAGAATATACTTCAAAATTACCACCATACACTTTAAGTGGCTGTGTGCAGATATGATCACATACAGACAATTTTTAAAGTCTAGCCCTTTCTTCACACGAATAAATACATAATTTTTCTGTTTTCTAAGAACGATTGCTGCAGATTTTCTACAAACAGAAGTGTTACCGAATATTAGCTCAACCAAACCTTCTAAGCTGACTGGAGAACAAACAACCATTTTACAGCCCTTACTGTGTGCCTTTGCAGGTATTCTAGAAATCCGAACAGTGGCAGTTGGAATAGTGGCAATCAAAGGAGTGGAAAGTGAATACTTTCTGGCAATGAACAAGTCAGGAAGACTCTATGGAAAGGTATGGATGAAAACTTCTCCTGGGTATACAATCATCACGTACAATCTTTTTTTAGCTGTAGCACCCGTACAGTTTGTATAAAATAGATTCCTAATAAATTAAAATGTATCTTGTACTTTTCCCATACATCCCATACTAGGCTTTTATGTCCATTTAATAAATTCAGTGATTAGAGCTTACATACTTTTTAAAAACATGGAACACTAAGGGGGAATAGACAAAGCTAAAATATTCAGTACTCAGGTTTCAGAAGCCAAATTTATTTATTAAAAATATTAATAATACGTGGGGTTTATAATGCATATCCTTCTCCCATCTTCCCTAATCTAAGCATTAAAAAAACACTTGTACTTATTTTACTCTATTTTATTATTTACTCTCAACAGAAAGTATGCAATGAAGACTGCAACTTCATAGAACTGATTGAAGAAAACCATTATAACACATACGCTTCTGCAAAATGGACACACAAAGGAAAGGAGATGTTTGTTACATTAAACCACAAAGGGGTCCCCATGAAAGGTAAAAAAACAAAGAAAGAACATAGAGCATCCCACTTTCTTCCACTGGCAATATCCTAATCACAAGTGATCTATAAAGAACTAGTTCCAGCAGGAAGATTATTTCTAAGACGACTATTTGACAAGGTATCAAAGGAGGCTGGAATACTACTGAGAAACTGAACAAGCTGGACTTGCGCATTTATGTTTATTTTTAAGAGACTACGTGAAAAAGATTTGAAAATATACACAAAACCAGATTTACTAACTAAAAGTTGTATAAAATTCTAAAGAGTTGTACAATCATTATCTTAGTCATTGTAACTGGGTAGTTTCTTAAATTAATTTACCCTGAAGAATAAGTCATTACTTGATTATCTGATAATATTTTATTTAAAAAAACTGATCTGCTTCTTAAATATGGCTGCTATAATAATAATAAGCAGATGATAATGTTGTGTAAAATATGTCAGACTTTAAGGCTGCTGGAATGAGTTGTCAGATTATCAAGTCAATAGTAAATGTGGAGGCTGAGCAGTATTTTAAATACTTCCCCCAGGAAACTGATATCCTACACATAAACTATATGATCAAAAAAAAATTATAATCTTGTAAATGTTTATTGTTGTATTCAGATAAAAGAGTTAGTTTGGAAAAATTAAGTTTACTCTACTACAAAATGTTCCTATCTATTAATGAAACAAATACCTAATGCTGCTCTAAAAGATGTTTCAAATAGTGTATGTAAAATAAGAATAGGAATAAATACTTTACTTCATCTCACTTTTCACAAATTAACATTTTATATAACGATGAAGCAAAAATTCAGACATATTAAGGTTTTTTATGTAACATATCCTATCTTTTGTATAATTCCTGTTAGGGCATACAGCTTTCAATATTGTTTTTCCATCCTTATACATGCTTTTTCTGTTGTTACAGCATTAAACTTTATTTTAAGTTGTATTTGAACTTTATTGTTCTAAGTTATTTAAATGTTATTTATAAAAAAATACTTATTAAGCTGCATCTGTTTCATATGCTTTTAATTCTAAAGGAATAACAAAATGGTCTGGCTGAGATGCATGAATTTTTTTCTGCAACCAGACACAAAGACTAGTACACAACCCTCTTGCCAACATACATTGGATGGCAGACAAAAATGACAGCCTGCAGCAAATCGCACAATGGACATCTCAAAAGAAACAATGCAAAAATGTAAAAAATCTTTGCCACATACTCTGGCTAATTGAATTACTGGTATGCTCGGAGTTACACCAGGTAAAAGAAGGTTACAGTTCCAGCAGGTACTGGAACTAATCCTCAGATGGTAGAACCTATACTCACAGATAGAGAAACATGTAAGAGCCTATATGACTAGTTTGAAACTCCAGCTAAAATCAGTGTGACCTGATAAAGCAAAGACATCTTCATTTTTCTAGCTATTAGTGTTCAACTAAGCCCTACAC